TGTGCTCAGAGCAGAAAAATTTGAAAATTTGGGTGAGGCCATGTTTGTATTTTGAAAACATTAAGAACATATATACCAGCAAAAATTATTTTAAGTAGTAAGCAATTATTTGTATTGGCACTTGTACAACTAGGTCACACCTGAATAGTGGTCAAAAGGATAAAATCACAAAAAAAGTTGTAGTTGATCGCGTGTTCGTTCTTCACTAGTAACTAGTCACACAGAATTACCCTACGTTTTTTCTATTTGTAACATCTAAACCGACACTACTTTCAAATAAGAAACCCATCCAGATGACACTCTCATTGGAGATTATCCACGTGTTATGTTGCTTTAGCGTAAGTAACATTTATGTAATTACGTTGTTACGTTACCTGTCACATGTTATGAAACTTGACTGTTGTCTCCAACNGACAACATTACTTAAATTTGATTAAAAAAATCGCATTAAAAAACAATTATGTGTTAATCGCGCGTCATTAAATATTGATTAAAATCGCGATAAAATTTTTTCGCGCGGGTAAAAATTTTTGAAAAAATTTAGAGACCTAAAAAACATCCAAAAATTGAAAAAAAATTTTTTTCGGGGCCCAAACGCCCGAGCTTTCTGTAACGCTATGTAAACTTGACGAGTTATTTAGTTCGAAAAAGTGGAGAGATAAAGGTTACCGTGTATCATATCTCTATTAGGATCAGACTTAATGACGATTTTGCTCGTTATTAGCATTTACAATTTGTTTTTACTGTACTAAATGTATGAACCTTCATCATTGGCTTGCATCTAGAGACTTCACGATACTGCCAATACCGATATCGATACTTTTCCTCGGATATAGGATCAGATATCGTTCAAAATTGTTTCCTTCACAGACTGGTCATTAGCAGGACAAGATCAGGGGCTTTTTTTTGTGTATATAAGACTTTTCTGATATCAGCAATTTTTACTCACATCAGAAAAGGAGCGATTTCTGTAAATGCCACTTCTCTGAGGAAGTTAGTTGCCTACAGGAAAAGCAGAGAGTCTTCCTACTTTTTTAAAGTAAATATTATAATAAACCGGTTTCCTTTAATATTCCTTGTAGTTTGTGGAGTTTGAATTTCGATTAACACAAGGTGTGCTTCTATTTAAACAGTTGGCGGAATTTTATCTTTATTTAGTTTACATTTTTTTTACTGCAATAAATATACAAAATTAAAAGCATCACCATAAAGCAAGGCAGAAAAATAAAGATGTAAAGTTTACATTTCTATTTTTTTGTCTTGTATAAGNACGTCTGTTTTCTACTTATTAAATTTCAAGAGTTTTCAATTTTTTAAAAAAAATTCTGTGAGTTACCATTAAATGGTTTAGAAGTCTATATATAAGAGACAGGCAATTATACATTCATTACATTTTATACACAAGTTTGTAGATTTTTAAACTTAATTTACAGTTAGCTCTTAATTAATTATTATTTGAGACACAAAGTAAACTTATGGATAAATATTGTAACTTCTACAAAGACTCCTCTCGATGATGTATTATCTGTACGACTTTCTCGTTTGTCAACTTTTTGTTAACAATAGAGGAATATGAATGTCCGAAGTTTCAATATTAGTGTATTAAATTTATATTTAGAAAGAACTTCCTAACTCTGAGGACTATTTTAATGTATTTAGGTGTAAATGTTAAATGGAAATACATAATTTATATTACAATTGACAAATTTGTTGCATTCTAATCAATACTTTTTTCTGTCTTCTTTTCCCCTTGTTCGCTGCTTTTCCCTCTTTCTCCACTTTTCTCTCATTTTTCTATGTTGTGCAATATATTAACATATAAAAAAATTTTGATGATATTTTCGGATTACATTTATAAAGTATCAGAGTTAGAATGTCTCGATATTCGAACTCTAAACTTATGTAATGACTTAAAGTCTGATTAAAATGTATCATATTTTATATTCAATTTCTGTTTTCATATACTGTATATAGGCCTATATATATATNTATTTCATTAAACAAGCAGTATAAAACAATAAAGAAATTTACATCAAACTCTAAAGAAATACATTAATTTCAAGCCTGTGTATTGTTGTAGTAGTATACACGTCTGAACATTTCCCCCAATTTACAGATTTTCTTTAAAGAAATTTATCCTTAAATTTTAATTACAGAATAAAAAAGGAAACAAACTTAGTAAAATTGTTAATTTTATTAATTATTTTCATAAAAAATTAATTAAATTGATCATTAAGTAAACCATTTAAGGCGATCGATTATTGATTGAACACTTTACTTTCGGTATTAATAACTTTTCTAAATAACAATTAAAAATAACTCATATAAAAGTTTTTTTATAAGGATTATATGATTATAGGACAAGAGTATTTACATTATAAATAAAGAAAACTCTACTTACCTTTGTGTTTCCAAGTTTCTCCTGTGAAACGTATGAAATTTTCTAATTGTTATTGACGATAAAACTTGGCTGTTTTGATTTGTTTTTGACGTCATAATCGCTTTCAATGCCACGTGTAATGGCTTGCAACAATATTTACCATTTCCTGAATTTTATAAATATAATACATTAATCTTTTGAAAATGCATTGGAATCTTGCTTATTTAACGAACAATTCTCAAAACGAGTAATTTGCATTAATTAACCTTGACATGTACTGTAGATAGACGTTTTAATTGCATTTATATTTCCTAAAATATTATATTTCTTTACAACTACACAATATAATTAATTATTTTATAACACAGTTTTTAAATATAGCCTGTAAAGGAATATAAATCTAATTAGTGTTATTATTTAATCACTCACTATTATTTTATTCAGAAAACAGTATAAGATCGAAAAATTTTACTTTAAATACAGCAGAAATACAATACTTTTTGCTTGTGTTTTGTTAAAGTAGCATACACGTTGCTGGCCTTTCGAGTTTTCTCTAAGAAATTAATTTTGCTAAACTTTTTATATATTTATTATATTATAATGTTAAATATTTAAATTAATACTAGCTTGATAAGTATAAATAAGATAGTGGGTTTGGGCGTCACCAACCAGGATAAAATCATTAAAAATTGTAATTTGCGTGTCAGCATTACTAATGAGTAGTAATGTTTAATTTTTAAACATCATAGTTGCTTGATAAGTATAAATAAGATAGTGGGTTTGGGCCTCACCAATCAGGATAAAATCATTAAAAATTGTAGTTTGCGTGTCAGCATTACTAATGAGTAGTTATACGAAATTTTTCAGATCTTCTTCCTGTTTCTAATACATAAATCTAAACCACTGTCGGGATAAAAATCGTCTGGCACACGCTTTTCCCGCCTTTTTATAAACGACCGTTGTCGCCGTAGAAACCGCGATCAGACCATTTTGAAGACTCAACCGCTCATTGGTTAAAAGACATCAGACCGTAGGCGGACATCTTATAGAGCTGGTAAATGCTGATTGGTGGAATCCAATGCTGTTTCAATCCTATAAAAGCATTGAAGTTCTGGCGGGAAGATCAGTTTTTGCTTCGGACATTAGGAAGTGAACTCACGCTGACCTGAGTTCGACTAAGTGGTTTTAGAAGATTGCCTCATCTTGTTGTGTTGTTGTGGACTTTGAATTTGTACGTCGCAAGGTGCTTTTCTGACGGACCTGTTGCAGTGGATAATTACTTTGAACTTTGTTAATATCTAATGTTTGTAATTCTTATATGTGAACTTTAATTGTAACTGTACATACGTTTATTTTCAATATACATTAAATTTAAAATTTAACTGGCTCTGAAGTGTATTTGAACTTGACTGGCGCAGTCTCGACAGGATTACTACAGGATTACCTTGGATTACGTTGGATTACCACAGATCGGAAAGGCTGATCTGCGACGGACATAAGGAGAGAACAACACCGGCAATCATTGACCCAGGTAAAAACTTTATTTTACTCGCTAGCAGAGATGCCCAAACGCGTGAAAGCGCGAGGTTTAGAAACAGGGGAGTGGGAAAATGATGGGCGACCAAGGGACAAAAGGCAAGAGGCTCGGGAAGAAATCGAAGCGCTTAAGCTTCGGATTGAACTCGCGAAAATCGAGTCTAAGTCCAAGGAAACAGAACGGCAGAAGGCGGAAATGGAGTCTAAGGCCAAGGAAACAGAACGGCAAAAAGCTGAATCTGAGGAGAGGAAAGCGGAAGCTGAGGTCAGAAAGACGGAAATTGAGTTAGAGCGGGATAGGTTACAAAAGGGGACCCGAGACGCCGAGGATAATATCGGCAAAGCAAATTTTGACGATTACGCTTGTAGGGTAAAGGCGGCACTGCCTAAAATGCCAGAAGAGGAGGAGGCAGTACCATCCTGGTTTCGTATGGTCGAAGTAGTTTTGGAGACCTACGAGGTCCCGGTAGAGTTACAGGGACAAATAGTTTTGAGCGTGCTATCAGAAAAATGTAAAGCGGCGCTGACAAGATTGTCAGTGGATAAGGTCAAACATTACCCTTCCTTGAAGGAGTTTATTCTCGAAGAGTTGAGAATCTCACCTGCGGAATACCTAAAGGGATTTAGGCGGGCGGAACGCTATCCGGGAGAAACATGGCCGCAATTTGCGTCGCGTCTGGAAGACCTTTACAAATACTACGTAGATAGTAGGGAGGTGGGCACGGTAGAAGAAATTATTAAGCTAGCAGTAGGGGATCAAATAAAGACGCTCCTACCTCATGACGCAAGGAAATATGTGATATTACAGGAAGGGAAGGGATGGGGCAAACCTGCGGAATTGGCCAGGTTTATAGAGAAGTTTGACGAGGCGTCAAGTAGCATGTCCCCAACCAAAAGCGAGAGAAACGGCGAACAAAGGGACTCGTGGAGAGAGACGAAAGGGAAATCTAGTCCCGTGACGCAGACTATAGATGAACAACCCCACAAAAATGGTTGTTATGTTTGCGGGAAAACGGACCATTGGAGGAGAAACTGTCCGAAACGGAAGGCACATAGTGAGCCTAAACAGGCGCGGCTCGTGGCTACTAGTAACAATTCCCAGGATGAGAGGCGTTTAGTAGCGAGGGTAACGTCGTATGACCAACCAAAGGTCATAACAGCGCCGAATAAAGTCAAATTGGCATGCGGCAGAAACTGTCTTTCGGCCATAGTTGACTCTGGAGCTGGGATTTCGGTTATAAGAGAGGCGTTGGTACCTACCTCGGTGATGGAAACGAAGGGGAGAATCCAATTGGTTGGGCCCTTCGGTCACCAGATCGATGCGGTGTTAGTATCGGTCCCGATAGGGCTGTGGGAGAAAGACTTCGCAGGGTCGCGAAGGTCGGAACTGGTGACGTGCGCCTTAACGGACGAGTTAGACCAGACCACGGATGCCTTGTTATCGGAGAAGGATTACCGGAGGCTAGTAGACCGAAAGCAGAAGCTCCAGGGAAAGGGAGAAAGACAAGTGAGGAGCTTAAGGGTAGATGGTAATGGAAACCATCGGGAAAAGGGGCCAGAACCTCTCTCAGAGGCGGCGTGCAGTGAAAATAGCGACGAAAATGAGAAAGAAACAGAATTACGAGACGCTCAAGTCCGGGACGACTCACTTTCTCGATTGTGGGAGGCCACTAAGCATAAGAAAGATGGGTTAACTGTAGAGGACGGGATACTATATCGGCAAGATAGTTCGTTCGGCAGGCCCGTTAATCAGGTAGTTGTTCCCCAAAAAACGGAGAACGGAAGTGTTAGATTTAGCACACAAAGCTCCGTGCGGTGGACAGTTTGGCAGTCGGAAATTAGCAAGTCGCGTTCGCGAGGGCTTCCATTGGCCGGGAATAGCGACCGACATCCGGAAGTACTGCCAGGATAGTCGTAGGTGCTTAGTAAGAGCGCCTGATCTAGTCCTAGATAGGACTCCAGCTACACCACTTACTCGATTCTCAACCCCGTTTCAAGTGGTTAACATAGGCGTGATTGTACCGATTGATCCCTTGTTATCTAACGGTCATCGATACGCAGTTAGCATAATCGGATTATGCACCCTCTGGTCAGAAGTGGAAGGGATGAGATCGCCGTCAGCGATGGTCACTTGTTCGGTATTGTTGCGATTCTTTACGCGGACGAGCTTTCCTAAACTGATGTGGTACGATCAGGGGACAAATTGCTCCGCAGGGAAATTGCTCCGCGTGAAATGACCCGTAAGTTAGAAGTAGGGAATGTAGAGATGGATCGGATCAAAGCGGTTCACGATATTGCAACTAAGCATACGGACGTAAAACGGGAAGAGTATGTGGTGCCTTACAACGAGGAAGCACGGAAAAAGGGACATAACATCGGGGATACGGTTCTCGTGGAAAAGTCTTCCCCGGATGACAAATTGGATGTCCGGTGGGAATGGCCGGATGTGGTAGAAAAGCGAACGTTCGCTGTAAGAATAGTACTTGATTCCGACGGGAGATTCGGGGAACGGGTTCAAACTCCGTCCCCGCGACAGCTGCACGATCGCGAAAGATGGGACGGGAGAGTAAGGGGAGTTCCTCCGCTTCCCCCGACGTCGGCACATACGGAGCGGGATGACGTGTCGGAGGATTACAACTCGATTTTCGGTAATAGACCGAAAAAGAAAAACATCTGGACACTTACTGGAGGGTGGATCCCGGAAAAGGTTTACCCCATACCCGATTGCGTTGGCTTTACGAAAGCGGTTATTAGGCATCGGTAACAAAGGCATCTCTGCGCGTAGACGGGTAAAATTCCCGGATGTTCCGGATGTATGGGTCAGTCCGATATCGGACGATTTTTGTAAGATTGTCTGGTGTTGTGGAAGGAATCAAACAGGCTTGAGTAAGCTCAGTTTGATCCTCGGCCGTGGAGGTGTCGGGATGGAAAAATCGTTTGGCACTCAGTTTTCCCGCCTTTTTACGAACGACCGTTGTCGCCATAGAAACGGCGATCAGACCATTTTGAAGACTCGACCGCTCATTGGTTAAAAGACATCAGACCATCGGCGGACGTCTTATAGAGCTGGTAAATGCTGATTGGTGGAATCCAATGCTGTTTCAATCCTATAAAAGCATTGAAGTTCTGGCGGGAAGATCAGTTTTTGCTTCGGACATTAGGAAGTGAACTCACGCTGACCTGAGTTCGACTAAGTGGTTTTAGAAGATTGCCTCATCTTGTTGTGTTGTTGTGGACTTTGAATTTGTACGTCGCAAGGTGCTTTTCTGACGGACCTGTTGCAGTGGATAATTACTTTGAACTTTGTTAATATCTAATGTTTGTAATTCTTATATGTGAACTTTAATTGTAACTGTACATACGTTTATTTTCAATATACATTAAATTTAAAATTTAACTGGCTCTGAAGTGTATTTGAACTTGACTGGCGCAGTCTCGACAGGATTACTACAGGATTACCTTGGATTACGTTGGATTACCACAGATCGGAAAGGCTGATCTGCGACGGACATAAGGAGAGAACAACACCGGCAATCATTGACCCAGGTAAAACTTTACTTTACTCGCTAGCAGAGATGCCTAAACGCGTGAAATCGCGAGGTTTAGAAACAGGGGAGTGGGAAAATGATGGGCCGACCAAGGGACAAAAGGCAGGAGTGCCAGGAAACGAATCTCGGGAGGACATTGAAGCGCTTAGACTACGGGTTAAACTCGCGGAATCCGAGGAGAAGAAAACGGAAACAGAACGGCAAAAAGCAGAAATAGAGGCTAAGGTGAGGATAGCGGAAATTGAGTTAGAGCAAGATAGGTTACAAAAGGGGACCCGAGACGCCGAGGATAATATCGGCAAAGCAAATTTTGACGATTACGCTCGTAGGGTAAAGGCGGCACTGCCTAAAATGCCAGAAGAGGAGGAGGCAGTACCATCCTGGTTTCGTATGGTCGAAGTAGTTTTGAAAACCTACGAGGTCCCGGTAGAGTTACAGGGACAAATAGTTTTGAGCGTGCTATCGGAAAAATGTAAAGCGGCACTGACAAGATTGTCAGCAGATGAGGTCAAACATTACACCTTCCTTGAAGAGTATTAACTCTCCGAGAGTATCAACTCTCGGAGAGTTGATACTCTTACTTGCAGAATACCTAAAGGGATTTAGGCGGGCAAAACGCTATCCGGGAGAAACTAAGCATAAGAAAGATGGGTTAACTGTAGAGGACGGGATACTATATCAGCAAGATAGTTGGTTAGGCAGACCCATTAAGCAGGTAGTTGTTCCCCAAGAACGGAGAGCGGAGGTGTTAGATTTATCACACAAAACTCCGTGTGGTGGACATTTAGGCAGTCAGAAAACGGCGGGTTGCATTCGCGAGGTCTTCTATTGGCTGGGAATGGCGACCGATATCCGGAAGTACTGCCAGAGCTGCCATAGGTGCCAAGTAAAAGCGCCTGCCCGATTCCTGGATAGGACCCCAATCACATCACTTACTCGAACCTTGACCCCGTTTCAAGTGGTTAATATAGACATGATTGGACCGATTGATCGCTCATCGGCTAGAGGACATCGGTACGCACTTTGCATAATCGACTTATGCACTCGTTGGCCCGAAGTGGAATGTATGAGATCACTGTAAACGACGGCCACTTGTTCGGCACTTTTACAAATCTTTATGTGGACGGGTTTTCCCGAACTCATTTGTTGCGATCAGGAGACAAATTTCACCGCCGGATTGACGCGTGAAATGACCCGCATGTTAGGGATACGGATTAGATTTTCGACCCCGGAACACCCGCGAAGCAACGGAAGTGTCGAAAGATGGAATCAGACCTTTAAGAATATGCTAAGCCACACCATAGCAGAAAATAAAAGGAATTGGGATAGGGTTGTTCCCTTTCTGTTATGGGCTTATAGAGAAGTTCCACATGAAACTACCAGTATATCACCGTTTGAAATGCTTTATGGGAGAGCTCCAGTAGGGCCTTTAGCTATCCTAAAGAATATGTGAACGGGAGCGGTAATGCCACCCGATACCCTAAATAATAGAGCGGCGGAATATTTACAAACATTGGTAGATCGGATTAAAGCGGTCAATGATATAGCAACTAAACGCACGACCGTAAAACAAAAACAATATGCGGCCCATTACAACTTGAGAGCATGGCCGAAGGAATTTAACATAGGGGATACGGTTCTTGTGAAGAAGTCTTCCCCAGATAATAAATTGGATGATCGGTGGGAAGGGCCGGCGGTAGTAGTACAGCGAGAAAGAGAAGGAAGTTACCGTATAAAGTTAGAGGATGAAAAAACAAAATGGGTCCATGTAGATCATCTCAGGAAATATCAGAAGCAAATATTCGCTGTCGGGGGTAGTATTTGATTCCGACGGAAGTTTCGGGGAACTGGTGGAAACTCCGTCCACTTGTCAGCCGCCCGATTGTGGACGCTGGGACAGCGATGATAAGGGAATTCCTTCACATCTCCCAACGTCGGCACAGACCGAGCTCCATAACGTCCTAAGAGACTACAACTCGATTTTCGGGAGCAAACCAGGGAAAACTAGGGTTTTGAAACATAAGATAACCCTTACTGAAGGGTGGACCCCGAAAGGGTTTACTCCATACCGAATCCCACTAGCCTTATGAAACAAGGTCGATGAGACCATCACCGAGTTGTTAGAAGCGGGGCCAGCGTATTGGAGTGTGCTCATCCCATAGTATGCGTAGCTAAGAAAGGGGGTGGAATGCGGTTATGTGTTGATTATCTGCACTTAAACGCAGCAACCGTACCAGACCGCTATCTGATGGTGCTGTCCGTCGAATTAATCTACCAGTTGGCCGAGGCCCGGTACATAACATCGCTGGACCTTTGTAAGGGATATTGGCAAGTGCCGTTAGAAGCATCTAGCAAACATCTTACTGCGTTTGTTACCCATCGCGGTCAGTTCGAGTGGGAAGTCATGTTTTTTGGACTAAGATATGCGGCTGCAACATTTCAAAGGCTGATGGATTTGGTGTTGGCCCCGTTTAAAAACTTCGCGGTAGCATATATCGATGACGTGACCATATACTCGAGGAGCTGGCCAGAACATATACACCACATTAAGACCGTCTTAGGGGCATTAAGGGACGCAGGACTGACGATCAATGTCAATAAATGTCAGTGTGCCAAACCGCACATCTTATATCTCTGGCATGTGGTAGGCTCCGGACGACATGCGCCGGACCCTGAGAGGGTCAGAGCAATAACCAACTTAGCTCTGCCTAAGACGAAGGAGCAGCTGAGATGTTTCTATCTCTAAGTTATTCTAAGTTACTATCGAGATTACATTTCGGATTATGCAGGGTTAACCAATCCCCTCACGGATTTACTCGCACGACGGGCGCCCAAGGTAATAGAATGGAATCAGGAGCTCGAAAAGATCTTCAAGACGATAAAGGCAAGGCTTGGACGGGCGCCGCTGTTATTTTCGCCAGACCCAGAGAGGCCTTTCGTGTTATTCACGGACGCGTCGAACCAAACTATCGGGGTTTGCTTGGCGCAATTCTCGTCAGAAGGGCAAAAGAGGCTGATAGCTTTTGCAAATCGGAAACTAAAGAGGGCAGAGGTACGGTGGGCTACTATCGAGAAAGAAACCTACGCAATTATTTGGGGCCTTCGGAAATTTAACTACTGGATCTATGGGAGACCGGTCAAGGTGGTCACAGACCACAACCCCTTAAAGTACTTGACATTGTCAACACCCCAGGGTGCAAAACTTACGCTCTGGGCTCTTGCGTTACAAGGATACGACATCCAGATTGAATACCGTAAAGGGAAATTACACGGTAACGCGGACTCTCTCTCTCGATTAGAGACTGAGGAAGACAGCGATTAATAGGCGTCGGTAACAAAGGCATCTCTGCGCGTAGACAGGTAAAATTCCCGGATGTTCCGGATGTATGGGTCAGTTTGATATCGGACGATTTTTGTAAGATTGTCTGGTGTTATGAAGGGAATCAAACAGGCTTAAGTAAGCTCAGTTTGATCCTCGGCCGTGGAGGTGTCGTGATATAAAAATCGTCTGGAACTCAGTTTTCCCGCCTTTTTATGAACGACCGTTGTTGCCATAGAAACGGCGATCAGACCATTTCAAGACTCGACCGCTCATTGGTTAAAAGACATCAGACCATCGGCGGACGTCTTATAGAGCTGGTAAATGCTGATTGGTAGAATCCAATAATGTTTCAATCCTATAAAAGCATTGAAGTTCTGGCGGGAAGTTCAGTTTGCTTCGGACATAAGAAGTTAACTCACGCTGACCTTAGTTCGCCTAAGCTGTTTTAAA